TGCGTGTGTGTGTGTGTGCGCGCGTGCCTGTTACTGGGTTCTCTACAGCTTCTTGTGCTCGCTTTCTCTCCTTCCTTGCCGGCGGAAAGTGCAGGAAAAGCTCAGTGGCCGGAGTTTGCATGGCTTGCGCCGTTCGCTCTATTCACCTGTGTTGGTTCGGTTCGTAATTTGAGGTTTATTTACATAGGGTAGTAGCCCTCCTGGTCTAGCTATCGGGTTGACTTTCACCCACTGCTTTTTCTACGCGTTTGTCGTGAAAAGTGCAGCAATGGTAACAGCAGAACAGCTTTGCGATTCGGGGTTCTTGTTCGTGCATGTGTGTTGTGACTGTTGTTGTTGTTGTGCCGTCCGATTCCGATAGTTTTTGGCGTCTTTGGTGAGGTTGTTTGTGTTCGCTTTCGCACTGTTTTTTGCGTGTGTTTCATTTACCTGTACCTGGCTAGATTCATCCTGTGTGCTGCTGCTGCTGCTGCTGCTGCTGTAGTTTTCACAGCCAGTACAGCTTGATTGCTCGGGCGAGACTAATAGATTGAGATGTGTGTAGTGTTGTCTGCAAGCTTGGGCGCGCCAAGTTGATTAGCGAGCTAGCTCGTTGTTTCTTCTACATTGTACCCTGCAGAGGAGAACACGTGTCTTTGAGGGAGCAGGGGTGAACGCCAGAACCACGCTCCAACAAATGACCCTTGCTTGCTCGCTCTCTCTCTCTCTCGTCTTTGTTGGGTTTTTTTTGCGTGTTGTCACGCGAAATGTGTTTGTACCTCTAGTGTACGTTCGTGTGTCTAGTGTGTTTGGTTCTTTGAATCGCCCGTCACATCGTCTCTTTCACCTCCTCTCTGCTCCGGCATTAAGTTGTACGATGGCTGAGAAGAAGGTGGTTGGAATGGTGGGGAGGGGCGAGCAAAGCCATGCAAGTTCAAAGAGGGCGGTATTGTATTTTTAGCTAATAGAGGGGCGCGAGCGAGGGATTGGAAGGGAGACCCGGCGACGACCCATTTGTGATGCGACCATCTTGTTTTTCTTTTGTAAGTTTCCATGATGGTCATCCTTTTTCTTTTGTTTGGTTCTTTTGCAGCTCTGCATTCAGTAGAAACCTTTGCTGACTGCATGCTGCTGCATGTTATGACTCATGACATGACATCAATCGATAGACGGGGCTTTTGCAGAAAATTGTTTTTTCATCTGTGTCTGCGCTGTTGGGCTGCGTGGGTGTCTCGTTGTTGCTCGTCTGCCAACGTTTCCATGATTGGGCGTGGTGGTTCGTTGCGTAGCTGCAGAGGTTTCGCTTCAAGCTTCGTGTTCCTTCTGGCACCCGCTTGTCACCGATTTGAGGGCCATGGGCGCGCGCGTTGTGTCTTTTGAAAATGTGTGGGGTCGGAGCGATATGCATGGACCGTCGGCGGTTGAACGATGTGCCGGCCCGTAGATGTTGTGGCGGAGGCCTCTGTCCTGTGTACGAAGTGTTGCTTGCTGTCGAATCTGTTTTGTTTTTTGTTAGTCTCAACTCTGTGTTATCTCTGCACCGTGGGTGTGTTTGCCCGTGGTTGATTCTAATATGAAGGGAGAAATAGAATGATCAAGATGGTGTGCCGGTAACGACGTGCGTGCGTTGCGCATGTGTGGAGGAGGCAAACGGCAGCGAAGGCAAGAAAAGGGTATTAGTTGTGGATGCAAAAACGCTTCTTTTTATTCCAGGACGAGAAGGAGGGGCTGCCGGCATCAACGGAGTGTGGCGAACTTTCCTAGGCTGGATGGTGGGGCGTCGTCTGATTTGGCTGCTGGTGCTTTTCGGGGTAGTTCGTTGTGCAATTAATATTCGTTTATGATTAGTAATGAATCGTTGTTTGTCGGTGTAGGTGTGCTCGACGCGTTGTTGCATACTTTTGTGTCCGCGGTGGGGGTTACGACAGGAACACGGTCTCGAGGCGAGGGGATAGCGGGGTAGGCACGGGGTTCGGTTTCTCTTCGGCGGGTACGTTGATCGACCATGTGCGGATGGATGGAAACCGGTATACACCCAAGGAAGAGGTGTGTGTGCATACGGACCAACACAGTCCGTACGTACGTACGTGTGCACGCGTTGTGAAGAATGAAGCATTCGTATGGCACGGTTCCTTTGCCCTGACGATGCTGGATGAGACAACTGAATGTAAATTCATGCTGCCGCAATGGTGTGGGGGACGGGATGTGGATTTAACAATCATTGAACAATCGGAGGGACAGACGGACGTGTACGTGTTGACGTCTTTAGGTGAGTGGAAAAAGTCCTGCTCGATATTGACTGACGGTTAAACTTTAGACTACAGTTAGTTGAAGGATGTAGACTAGACATTCCTCGGGAAAAACATGTTTGTTTGTTGCCGTCACTGTGATGTGCACAAACAACTGCAGCGAGCTACTATACTTGTATTTTACCGCCGTTTATTCTCTCCCGTCCATGACACTCTCGAAACAAAAGATTCAAGCGCTCATTGAAGGGATGGTGTCTGTGTCCCTAGTCTACATACATATCTATATGCATAGGTTGCGCATATATATTGCTTACAACAAGCTGCAATTTTGGATAATCATCATTGGAAACGGTTGTCGGAAGGAGTGTATGGTGGTGAGAATGGAATTGATGCGCGTATGGACTTTTCTTCCATCTGTTGCGTGTATTTGTTTCATTGCGGATCCCAGCCGAAAGTGTACCAGGTTGGATCTGCATGCCGACATCAGGTCTGGTGCGTAGGGTTGAGAAACGTTGGGTAACGCCTGTGCAAGGGTCAGTGTGTCCGAGTGGTTAAGGAGACAGATTTGAAACCTGTTGTGATCTCACGCGCGGGTTCAAATCCCGTCGCTGACGTGAACTATTTTTCCGGAGCGTGCAATTTAAATTTCTTTTCCCAACTGTTTTTTTTCTTCTCTCCAACTACTATATATTGCCGGCATGCATCTTGAACAAGTAGTGTATGATTGCTTTCTAAGACATGTTGTCTTGCCCTTTCATGCACCCCTGTGCAAGTAGCTCCAGACTGACTGTCTATGCCACAACTCTATTCGTGTTCAGGATAAATTTTGTTCGCCTGTGCCCCCACTCACTTTGAGATACGAGATGCACACATGCATGCATGGTATCCTTCTATTTTTTTCGGACATCTGAGCGATGCTGAATACATCGCAGCTCATTGGGTCGCTTTTGGTAGCACGCAGCCTCACGCCCGGAGAGGGAGAAGATCCCTGAGCGACGTTCATTCGTACTTTTTTTATTGTCGCAGGACAAACTCACTCCTGGCCGTCCGTCCGTGCCACTGCTCGCAAACGGTATGCCCTTCAATGTAGTATTTTACTCTCCACCGATTGGCGAAGGAAGGGAGGGAGGGAGGGAGGGAGTGGTGAACAACTCACTGCATTGACACGCATCGATCGGTTTCAGATGCACACTGAGATGACATTGGCCCGTTCATCTGCGGCGCACAAAAATAAGTAGCACATGCTTCGCGCCTTCACCACACGCTACTACAGTACAAACAATACTTTGACAATAGATGTCGACTAGATGATTGGAGGGGAGACGACCGACACATGGCAACAAGCATGATTTCTTGTTTCTCCAACACACCAAGAAGAACGGAAAGAATTGCAAAGAAAGGGATCAACATGTGGTCCCCGATAGTTCGTTCTAAGTAGAACAAACATTCAGTGGTGATCGGAGAAGAGTAGGCAGTGGTGCCTGCCGCGTTTCTGAAGGAATTCAACCGTGCGTGGTCAACGGCGGATGGTTGGTGATGACCCTGGTAAGAAAAAATAAATTTGTCCCCCGCTATAGGCTCTCGCTCGCAATAATCTGTTCCGTCAATTTAGGATACATTGCTATTTACTATTTACCACCCATCCATGCACTTGTTTTTCAAAGTGGAAAATCAACATTCAAGCTTCAATCTATCTTCCCTGCCGATCGTTGATTTTGCTTGCAGCCGGTTCGCAGTGCCCCTCTCCCGGGCCGTCGCCCCACCCCGCATTGATAAGCCGCTGCCTGCAGTAGCCCAGCGGGACCACCCGGTGCTTTTGGTGGTCTCGAGAGTTGGTAGCCCCGGCCCCGAAGACTCGCCACGTCCGTCCCTCGGACACGTCGAGATCCAAATCTGCGAACAACTTTCGCACTCCTTGCTCCGTCTGCAACGCCTCCAGGCTCGTCTCGACCATGTTGCACGCGGCGGTCGGCTGAACAGCCGAAAGGTCTGGTGGTGGTACCGCCGAAGACGGCAGCGGCGGCTCCGCTGCGGGGGGAGGGTAGGGAAGAGACGGACCACCCCTTCTTGGCTTTGTGCCTCTTGATGCGTCGTCGTCGTTACCGCTCGGCGGTGTCGATTTCCTTTCGTAACACCTCCTGAATGTTCTAGGGGGGCGGGTGGGATGAGATGGGTGAGATGGGTGAGATGGGTGAGTTGGGGCGGACGGGTGAAGGAGGAGGGTAAATCCTGTTCTGTTTTTGCGTGCCTGAGTCGCTTGCAAGACCTTGGTCGCATTCTCCTTTCGAGACGGGACATCGTTTCTGCTTCATATGGTAACGCCTCTAATTGTCGGCCATTCTAAGTGCAGCGTCATGTTTCGTGCCATAGCTTAGGATGATTGTTTCCATGTTTTCACCTTAACATGCTTGCACGAGTTTTCCGCTGCTTTTGTGTCTCGCCTGTTGTTTCGGCGACCTCTTGAATGTTTCTGGTTATCCTCGCGGAATCATCAGCCCCCACGCCTTATGTTACTCCTCCGCCTCTGTTTCTACTAATGGACAAAGCCAACAACACATTCACGCACTATACGCCTGGTTTGAGCGACAAAGCTCAACGCAAGAGGGGGGGATGTTGGTAGATAACACCACATGCATCGCACCGAAGAAGCACAAGTCGGATTACAGTTGGATTGCCCTCTTTGTCCCGAGTTCAGGCCTCGGTGGGTGTCGAAGTAGAGCCTGCACGGACACCTTTTTTAGGGAACGTTGTGGACTTGACTGTTCATCGATGTTAACCACCCTCGAACAACTGCCTGCCTGCTGTGAACACAACACCTTCGATATGGACATCGACCTTCGTACCGTATCTGGGTCTCCGTGTTTGCGGCATACGCAATCAGTGCCTCGAACCCGTCCATGTCAACCTCCTGGACGGGCGAAAGACGACGGTTCTCACCCCCACCACACGGCGCGTCCGCATGCTGCCGGCAACGGTTGTGAGCGCTAGTAGCGGTAGCAGCAGCGGTAGAAGCTCTTGATTCGTTGTGGGCGGGAAGGAGGAGCCAGTCGCTCCGCTTGTGCCGGCGGCAGAAATGGCCTAGTTCGATACGGCTCTTCAACACCGCCGCCGGATCGCGACGGAGCACCACGACATCCACCCGAAAGTGCGGCGCTAGCTCGCGCTGATTACAAAAAAAAAAAAGATTCGCAGTAGAAAGGTGAGAGATCAGAAGCACGCCCGGCGGCAACTACGCGAGGGTTGTTGTATGGAGTAGCTTCTCTGTGGTGCGCAGTCTACTTTTCCACCGTGGCGCGTTCTGATGATGAGAAGGTTTTGAAAACACTTCCACGGTTTCAAACTCCGCAGGTCTTCTCGCACACTGTACAACTCGCGCGTGTCATAGCAGCGTCGACAACTGGCTTACCATAACGACATCCGAAAACGTCTTCAGGAACAGGTGTGACGTCTCGACGTACGTCAGCGTTCCGACGCCGCTGTCCGACAGGTGCTGCCGTGCCGATCGCAAGATTTCCTCGGCTTTGTGGCGGCGTTCCTCGTAGCTCTTTTCTGGATCGGTTGCCGCCGCCAGAAGGTTATGCCGCCCGCTGAGCTCAGGAGAAGCCTCGTGAAAAGCTTCGACACCCGGAGATGTTCCCAACAATTCAGACAGGTAATGTGTCCCACACCTTCCCGTACTGTGCCATGACGACAGAACAGGCGGTGCGAAAAAGACTCTTGTATATCTGTCCGTCGTTTCTGAGCTTGACAAGCATTTCCTGGTGCACACAAGTACAACTGAATCGGGGGCAAACATTGATACAGATTGACAGGCGATATTTCACCCAGAACACAGATTCCAAACACTTCATTAATCTGCGCGCGAATTCGGTTCTTTGCATTCACCTTGCCACAAACACAAAGCGCAGGTTTCCCGCCATTGTAGACCTCGCCATGGCATCGTCTTGAACAACGAGCTCCTCTCTGGTGTATTTTCTGCCTTGAGCAGCAAGAAGGGTAGTGTTTGGTTCCAACACCCCCTCTTCTGCTTTGCGAGTGGGGTGCTTCCCCCAGACTTCAACGCCGCCGATGAGCACATGCTCTTCATCGGCGGCCCCTCCTCTCTCCCCCTCTCGTTTGTCCCCACCGTCACCAACAGAGGCGGCGAGAACATGAAGCAAGACGTCCTCGACCCACATCCCCTTCTCGTTACCACCCGAAACGGCCATGTCGCCGGCGTAAACACGAGCCTCGTAGACCACGCTCCCGTTTGCCCACGCTCGGAACGAGAGCGCGCCCCCGTTGCCCGGTGTACGCCGCATGTCCGCCTCGAGCTGTATCGCGGTCGTTCTGCCGTTCTCTATTGAGAACGGGAGTTGGTGAATCACGTGCACCTGTGCGTCGGGGGGAACGGAGGGGGAAGACGGAGTGCCGACCTGAATCGCTACCTTGTGTGTTCGTTTGGGGGAGTTCGGAGCCGCAAGAGCCCCTCCAAGCACAAAAACATATTTTCGTATTCTCTGGTAGTCCGATAAGCCCTGGCTCGCCCATCTTCGAAAGTGGTCTATGGTGAGGAGAGTAAGGTTTATCCGAGAGAGTGGCGGTAAGGGACCGAAGCCTCGCCTTTTCGAGCAGGTACGCACCTCGCAGACCTCTTTCAATGGCCGCCCCAGCACCATCAGCGAGCAGAAACCGATGGACCCTTCGCGCCAGCGCACGAAAAATCGCACGTCCCCCGACATTCCCAGCCCGGGAAGCTTCCCTCGCGGGCTCTTCTTTGGGTCCCACCGTGGGTGAACCCAGTACCGCACCACCCCATGCAGGGGACGGGGTCGGATGACAGATCGTCCATGCAGCCCAGACGAGCCACCGTCAACTCCAGCCCCCCCATCTCCTTGCTGTTGCCCCTCGATGCAAACGTGTACCCAGCCACCGACCATTCGTGGCGGAATGGCGACACGATTACGATTGCCGAGGACAGCGCCACGTGAACCCGGTTCGGCTGTCGGTTCGTCACCGTCTTTGCTGCGCGCATCATAGGCCCGCAGTCCTTCCCAAGCGCCCATGCTCCCCTTGAGCTTCCAGCCTCCCCCGCAAGTGACCCGGAGGCTGCTGCTGCAGCCGCCGTCGCCTTGGTAGGCTCGACCGGCTGCCCAAGCGTCACCCCACGCCAAGAGAGAGAGCCCCTCCAACACCTCGTAGTCTCGACCCTGGATGCCCTCAAGCTGAGTCTCTTGGTAGTACGTAGCTCCCCAAACGTTTGCGGTGTGGGCGCGGGCAGATGGAGAGAGCAAGGACGAACTGGCGGCGAGGGAACGGTCGACCTCGGTGGAGAAACGCTGGAACAGTCCGTCCACGGAGGCCCGAAGGTTGGGCGCGGTACGGTGGGCCCTTCTGTGCTCGGTCGGAGGGTGCGGCAGGTCGATGAGGTACGCCGCCGGCAGCGCGCGGAACGTCCACCCGAGGCGGTGAAGGTGCCAGCAGTGGGACACCTGCGTTGTTACCGCCGCGTCGTTATCATCGCGAGGGAGGTCGAACATCAGTCACGATGAAGAATATGGAGGGTAGGTCTTGATTGGAGCTTCATAGCGTCTGGAGGTGCCTCCAGCTTTGCTTGCACGTGAGCGGGATGTCGTGGAACATGTATCTACACATTTCGGGTGAGGACGTCATGACGGGTCGTGATGCCCCGTGATGCTGCACAAAGGACATGGAAGCGGGAAATCGCAGCGGTTGGACGTTTCGCCGTCTTCTTCGAAGAGTAGTTTGGAGGAGAATCGACGCTGCCTCCAAGGCCTGGAGACACAATTCCCTTGATAACGCGGGAGGCTTTGTCGAACCCGGTGCCCGTCTCGTCACGTCCCACATCGCAAAGAAATGACGAAGCCGCCCTTCCTGATTTAACGTTGCACTGTGTGCCGTGTGATCTGTTTCAAGCTTTTTTTCTAGTTCATTACGTCAAGTCACCACCAAACAGATTCCGTTGAAGATATCGCCCATCCCATTTTATTGCCACCTACGGCCATGTCGCCTGGATACAGACAGGATCCACGGCGCGAGAGAACGGTACTCAAACGTAAAGGTGAGCCGACTTGTAGTTGTGGTCTGTTTAACAAACACATATGATCTTTCGTTGGTAGTCGAGGAGGGCCCGTGGAGACAGTCACTCGCGGCCGGACGGGGCTCCCCGCGCCTCGGGAACTACGCAGTGTGCAAGTGCAGCCCCATCGTCATAAGAGACGACTTCGTTCTGTTCTGCAAACGTTTCTAGCTGTAAAACGAACTCGAGACGTACGACGGTGATTGAGTCTAATCTTGACGCTTACCTTGTCCAGTCCAAACCCTCGAAACCTCTCGTCAAACGGCGGGGCGTGGGGGCGGAAAAAGAAGCCGTATGGCTCGTAGCCTTCTGCGTACTTCACCTATCGAAAAGAATTGCAGTTACAAAGAACGTCTTGCAGTTCGATTACACAATGGTAGTGCTGTTTTAACGAAAACTACCAATTGAGGAAAGAACAACCACCAGAACAGAACAGCGGGTTGTCTTAACTTGTTTTTTACCTCGTACGGAGTCGCATCTACTGGGAGTGTTGTCCACCGATCGAGATTGGTCTGTCGGTGGCCCTCGGGGAAACACGCAGCATGGAAGGCCTGCAGGTCCCCTGCCATGACGAGGTCAGCGGCCTTCCGCTTGTTGCCGGCTTCCTGCAGAAGAGCGCGGATGCGCGGGTCGTCCGGCGAGCTTGCGCCCACGAATTCTAGCGCAGGGACAACCAAAAACGTTGGTGGACGCGCGTCCAGGGTCGTCGCCTCTGTGTCAGCCCCTGAACAAGAGGCCGCGGGGAATGCAGGGGCTGCGTGAGTGGGAGACCTTCCTTCTCGGCATATTTCAAGGAGTCGCGCGTACACCGGGGGACGGCTGACGACCTCGTGGAGACCCCGCATGGGCATGGCGTCGACGTCCTGACATTTGATGCACAAAACGAGGGTCCAGGAGCTTTTCAACAAAATCAGAGTCGTACCGTTGAAAGTAAGGTTTTGCATGGTACCGCGAATGTGATCATCAGTGTAGCCTAACCTTCGACAGACCAACACCGAAAGCTGCCTATGTAAGGTCGGAGAGCTTGTTACTTACTCACCAATGACAAGACCAAGTCGGTTCTTGATGCGCGGAGGGCGGCGTTTCGGAGCGAATTTACGGGGTAGAGACCATCTCTCGCAGCCAGACTAGGGGCGGGCTGGCACAGGCTTATGTCCAGGCGGCATTTCCCCGTGGACTCTACCCTACGATGAAGGGCCGACACCTTCCGTCGCATGTGTTGATCCACATGGCCCCCTCCACCATTGATTATGGCCGCCGAAACCACGCCTGTCCAGAGATCGCACATTCGCTCGAGGCGTTTCAGCCGGGAGAGCGAGCACTGTGTAAAGATGGTGATGTCGGATTCAACGCGGCGGTGACGGCTCTCAAGCCTGCGGTGAGGGTTAGCCGAGGTGAAGCGACACAAACAAACACGTTGGTGGTTTGTGCTAAACCAAGGGGCGCGGGAAGGATGCCCAGCAGAGCACAAGGAAGGGCGATTACCTACACAGTCAAGATCTCCGCGCCCTGGGGGTAACTAATCTCGTCGACCTAACCATCGTACCCAATCCCAGCACACCCGCCACGCCGTGACATTTCCAAACTAACGCGACCATCGTGGTGTCTCACCTTGCGACAACGTCGATTCTCTTTGGATGGTACTCGTACCAAAGCGCGTGCACGCTGGCCCAAAGAGCGTGACGCATGGCGTCTCGGAGGGCGTCTGTGCAGGCCGTTCTTGTCACCCCAACACTGCACTTGCCGAGCTTTGGCCCTGCCCCCGCGGGCCAACGCCCCAACTGGCTCTTTTTCAACCCCAAAGAAAACCTTCTCTTGGTGCTGCCACCTCGCGGGGGGTGTCTTCTCTGCAAAGCTTCCGCGTTGATCTCCTCCTTCGCCACTTTGTACTGCTCGAGAATAGCGGCAAAACGCTCGGAGTGATGCCCCTTGGCGGGCAATGAGAGTTCAGCAACAGCTTCACGATCGAACGTTCTGCGCCACGACTCTGAACGCTCATGGGGGGCATGCACGAGGAACAGACCATGCTCCACTGTGAACGAAAAACCAAGGCTGTTGAGTCGATAGAAGAAGATAACCTGGATAGTATCCACCAGCGGAGGACGCGAACAAGGATTATAGGGGTCAACATACTATAAGCGCGGGCAGCAACGATAGGGTGGCGCTTAGTTGAGTTTGAATCACCACGATCATTGCGACGAAGAATTTTCACGAAACTTTAGAGTTGTGGTTGTATTGCACAGTGGCACACCTTGTTCCTTCCGTAGCCCTCAAATCGTTCGTCAAACGCAGGAACAAGCACCCGATTCATAATAACGAACGGCTCGAAGCCTTCCTCATAGGCGACCTCGTACCAACCGGACAAATCGGTGGCTGCCTTCCACCTGTCGAAGTTCGTGGCTCGATGTCCTTGAGCCCACACTCGGCTTGCGAACGGAGCCACGCGTCCTTGTTCCCACTGTTTTAGCAATTCCTGCTTACAGGCTAAAGTCTTCAACCACCACGACTTCTCGGGCATTTCAGTGGCTGCTGTTTGTGCAACATCTTCATTACTAACACCATCGTCGTCGTCGTCGCGGGCGGCGGACACCTCAAAAGCTGGCAACACGACGCAATTCAGTCGGCAGGATACGCGCTTAAAAATAGATCCAATCTCCCCAGATGCACGAAGCAGGCGAGTAAGGCGCCGGCATGGGCGAAAGTCCACATCACAAATCAACACAAGGTCGGTGCCCGCCTGGGCCAGAGCTCGGTTCCTCAGTTGGTTGATGGGGTACCAGGATGCCTTCGACGGGCTTCCACGAGTAAAGCACTGCACGCGTACGATCAGCTGGTCCAACCCAGGGAGGGCATGAATCGCATGGCGAACCCGAGTAGATGCGGTTTTGTCCTGAACAAAGACGGCTACACATATGGTGGACACTGCCGATGCGGCGGAGTTACTCTTGACGGTCCTGTCGTCGCCGTCCGTGAGGGCGAGGCACAACCCTTCCAGCTGATGGAGACGATCATCGGAAAGATGGGTTATCACTGACAGCAGTGTGCGGGGGCAGCCATTTCGTTCAACTCGTTCGAGTCCAAGGACTTCGCCCCACAACAGCCGCAGCCGATGTACCCGCATGTACATCGTAGACTATAGTCTAGTCAGAAGACGTGCGGAAAAATTGTTCTCAGATGCAGATTTTTTCGTGGGGCGGCGGTTGGCGGTTGACGGTTGGCGACGGAGCAGCGGTGGGGTGGCGGCGATTGTGGAGCGCTAATGGATTGAAATCAGTTGTAAAGAAGGGCCAGATCGAACGTCAACACCACAGCCACAGGCAGGCCGTGTCCGAACGCGTCGGCGCACAGCGCACTGGACACAAGTCCGGTCAAAATGCGGTGGAACTGCTGCTTGTTCGGATCCGTTTCACATCATGCGTCCAATAAGGAGGAGTGACAAAGAGGGACACGGAGACACCGTGACAGCGAGAGGAGCTCTTTCTCCTTGTTTATGTTGAATCCTTTCACGTTGTCTTTATCTCCTACTCAACGAGGGGCATCATAGCCAATCCTTCTTGTCTAGACTGCTCTAGATGCACAACAAGGAGGCATCGCTCCACGCTTGAATCACGGCGGCAACTCTCTCCGAGACTTGCGGCAGTGGTCTAGAGTCTAAACTGCACAACATTGGCGCCGGTGCGCTACGGATGCAACAACCCGCACCCGCAGGGTCTTTTCCGTTAATCGGCAATGCGGTGCAAATTTGGAGGTGGAAATGCAGCCAACGCAGCAAGCACTGGGACCGCCTTCACCTCCTCCGTCGTCCTCCTCGTCTCCTCCCAATGCCCCGCGGAGACAGTCCGTGGGTATATGCGTACGGCTGCATATATTTCTCGGGTTATGGCCCCTAGACTACTGTAGATCCAGACTCATATCACTCGTGCCGCTGTATTCGAGGGGGATGGGGAGATCATGCATCATAGGTTGGACTCTGCTGTTTCTCACGCCTTGTTCAAAATGTCATTGGCACATGAACCGTTGATCAGCGTTTATTCAACGGCAATTGTAGCGGTAGATAGAGTAGTAGTAGCAGGTGTCTAGCGCTAGTCTAATATTGAAGGGCCCGTTATCGGATTGATTATCACGTTGCCATACGCCTGACCTAGACTACAAAGACTACATAGTCTACGCTTCTCGGGGCGTTTGCCTTCTACTACAGTACAATAGAGCAAGAAGCGATACGTGACGACACCCATTGATCGATACACTTGTTGACATTGAGTCTGCTGGTAGTGCTGTTGTTGTTGTTGTTGTTGCTGCTGCTGCTGCTGTTGTTGTCGTCGTCGTTGTTGTCGTCGCGCTTCTCATCCAACGACACACCACATGCTGGTACATCTTTTTTTGTCCAGTACCCCCTCTTCCACTTGGTCATTGGTGTGGGACCGCGATATTCGCAGTTTTGGTACATGTAGCTTGTCAGAATAAAAGGGCATTGGGGGAACGGGAATGAGTCCATGCAAGACGATAACAAATAACAAATCGGCGTCTCATCGCGTTAACCTATCAATGATGAAGTGCACTCTCATCGTGCCGGCACGTACTGCGTGAGAGGTCCACCGTGTCTCTTGGGAGGTTTGTTTTGTCTCCCCAGGACCACCACATTGCCGTTGCTTCGCCACGTGTTGTTACCCAACTAAACTGCTCTTGTTCATCTTGCGACGCCCTCCACTTCACCTCCCACTCAATGCTTTTCCTCGACAGCATACCCCCCTGCCTCCGGGCGACGGCGACGGAGCGCTGGAGTTAAATAGTCTAAGTCTCATAGACAGGGCTCGCGCTCTGTGCGCGGCCGCGGACGACGTACAAAAAGCCACGATCGAGGCCAGCCGCCGCATAGCCGCCATTCACGGAAACCCAGACCGACCTCCAAGGCAAAAAAAAAAAAACGCTCCGGTCAAAGAGCCGCCAGACATCTGCGCACGACTGCCTTCGGACATCCCACCGCCGCGAGGAGAAGGGTGGCGGCGCCTGGGGCCCGTGTCCGTGGTGTGTGGGTCAAACCGAATATCCGCGCCACCCCAGACTAATCGCCGGGCCCTGACGCGAGAGGTGGAGGTGTGTATCGACGGCGGCTTCTACAGCGTTGTTCCGGCCGACTTAAACCCGGGGGGGGGCTTTTGCGTGTCCCTCGATCGCGATTTCGCCGGCGAGACAAATATGGAGTGCATGTTGTACCTTCGAAAGAAGTCGCGGAAGAAAAAGGTCATGACTACTACTACGCATGTTAAGGATAGCGCTACTGGACAGACCGGCAGAGTGGCTGCACTAGGTGAAAGTGGAAAAATGGAAGCGCCGTGCACTGCGGCGCTAGCACCGAGCAAGGTACGTGCGGGTCGAAAAGAAAGTGAGGAGGAGACGCCGAAATAATTCGGTAGCAACTCCTTTCACGACGTGGATAGCTGTCATCATCATCACTCTCTCCGTGTAGTCCTACACAAAAACGAAGCCCATCGGACACAAACTGGTGTGTACGTTGACACACGCTGCTCTCACATCACTATTCGGTTCTCTCTCGCTCGGCGCCACAGGTAGAATGTTCGTTCACTCTCGTGCCTCCTCCGCAGAGCGCGACAACAGCTCCGGCTCCGTTCGGGTCCGTTGGAGAAACGCCAAAGCCAGCCGCGACGATGTCGGCTGGAGATAAGGCGCCACCAGCGAGAACAACAGGGTCACCGAGCCCGTTTTCCTCCGGCATGGAGCGAGAGCTGGACACGTTTGTCATGTCGCGACCTAAGGACAAAAGCGGCAGGAGTTCTGCCGTCGTGCTCGAAGCGCAGAGACGCGCCCGGCGCAGAGCTCTGTCGATGCAAAAACGAAATACCGCCGAGGAGGAACGAAAAGCGGGAGCCCTCGAGGTATGAACGAGTTACGCCACCCGAGTGCCGTGGCCTTGTGCTCTTTGCCCGTAGTGGAACAACACCGTCGCACAAGCTTTTCGATTACGGCCACTTGATTGGGAGAACCGCAGAAACATAACCCAGATTCAAAGGGAGACAGGTTCCTCGCAATCACTTGTCGTTTGACCAGCATGTATGTGTGCATTACGACTGTACTGTGGGGTGACACTGAGTTGTAGAGGACCGCTGCTCTTACCCACCGTCATTCCGCCGCCGCTCTTGAATTGCGCTCCTGGTGGCGTCCCTTGTGGCATCCAAGTCGGCGAAGAAACCCCCAACCGTGGCGGCCATCGAACAGCTCAAGGCATCCCGCCGCGCGGCGCTGGCAAGAGCAGCCTCCCAGATACAAAAGGTGAGGAGCCAGAAACAGGAGGCCGAGGCAAGGTCCGAAGGAGAGAGACAGAAGAGGGAGGCCGAAGCGGCACGAAAGGCACATGCCTTGAGGTTAGCGGCTGCGGCCCGGGGCAGCATAGTGGCCGCCGAAAAGAAACAGCGGGAGCGACAGCTGGAGCTGGTGCGGCAGGCTGAAGCCGAGGCCAAGCGAGAGAGAGTCGCGGCAGTCCTCGCGTACGACGAGGCCCAAGCCGACGAGCGAGAGAGGCACGTGCGAAACGAAACGTACGCGAGGATACGCCGGGAAGAGCGGCGGCGAGAGTTGGCCCTACAGCGGCAGGAAGACGAGAGGATCGAGATGATGCGGATGTACGAGGCCGGGGAGAGATACAAAGGCACCAGTCTTGTGGCCGCGATGATCCCCGCTCCTGTCCCCGCGGTGCACTCCGCTCGGTCGTTCTTTAGCATCACGGACTCGGCGGTGAGTAAGTGCTGTGATACCGCAAAACAGCTGTGGCGTTGTGAATTCAATCGCAGGACGTTGAGCGTTTATAGAGTATATTTTTATGAGAACCTGGCATCACGGTCCTCACATGCTGTGTGCGTACAAAGTTGCCGCTATGGTATTCTGTGCGTCCTTCTTACGCTAGCATGCTCAACGTCTGGCGTTTAGGCTTTCTGGCGGTACATCAGGTACTATTTTAGCGTAAAATTGCATGATTTACGGACGCACGTCCTCTGTGCGTCTGTGTCTTTCAAAGAGTATTATTGCCTCGACTGCTGTACTTATCCCCGCCGTGCAAACCCCCTTGAACGAACCCCTACCGGCAGTCCGTTGCCGAGACCGTTCTTGGAGACAATGGCCCAGGGGTCGCATCTTCCGCGTCTAGGCAACGAACACCTGGACGCCGAAAAACCTGGCGTCGAGTAGACCCCGACCACATCGAGGAAGGCCAAGACGCGTTCGAGGGTGCATGTAGCAACAGCAAAGGTGCCCAAGACGTGCGAAAGGCCGAGCTCGACGCCTTGAAATCAACCCATCACCAGCCGCAAGCGAACCAACAGGGGTCTACCCCCGCCCAGCAAACCACTACCACCACCCCTCCGAGCGGCGGTGCTTTGTTGGAGCCAATTCTAGCGTCATCGCCGCCAAGTGCAAGACGTGCTTCCGGGTCCTCGTCTGCCCCACCGCTACCAGACGACGACAGCGGTGAAATTGTCACCGTCAGTCGTGGGCTTAGAAAGCCTCCCCTCTTGTCGCCGACCCGACCCTCGTTCTCGTCGAGATACGCGAGAAGCGCAAGCGCGTCGGCCACTACCGGCGCGGCGGCATCTGCCTACGGCAGCAGAAATACAAAACAAGGAGCTCTTGGAAGGAGAAGGATAAGCACAACGCCTGTGTGGAAGCGGCCGGCGGTGCCGCTGAGCAAGCCGTACGTTCCCGTACCGCAGAAGGACACCGACGGCCGTATTTAATGAGCATCGGGCTGATCAAACGCCACGCCACGCCATGCCACGGCGGCCTCGCGAGATGCCTCGTCCTTTCCTTGTATTTTCCGGACCGTGAGTAATACCCCCCCTCCTCCATGATGTATGTATGCGTCTGTGTCGTTGCACTGCACATCGGGTTGTTGGGTACGTTCAAACGACTACCAATGAGCATCTGGCAATGCGGAAATAGAATATCCAGGCTTTTCTGAAGCGGTGGTGGGCTCGGAGGAAGCGGCATTTTACAGGTCTACGTGTCTTGGGATGGATGGATGTTCAAGGTGCCGCACGAAGTGCACCCGCTTGAGTCACTCCATGGCGACAAGAACTGAACTTACGTATAGAGCCGACCGGTTGTTGTTCCACCCGT